TAATCTGTCTACAAACTTTCCCACACAACACTGAATCTATTCTTTTTCATACTTAGGGAAGGATTCACTTGAATTAAAATGATTATTAGGTACCACCTATTATATACAAGTTGAGAAGGAAGTGGTACAACAAATGGTTAACATTCCTAACAGTGAAGATGTGGTACTGGCTCTGAGCAAGTACCTTTGCAGTGTTCCAGGCAACTCTAAGACTATATAAATTGATCTCCACTGGTAGAAGAGACTTGAATCAGGGAAAACAACGAGAGAATGAAGTGTAAGAGACTTCTTTCCACTAAATGTTGATTTTTATCAATACATTAACAAACACTTGTGAAAGGCTATCTGGCATAATAGAGACACACTTTATCATCATTAGAAGGACATAAATTTAACTTCCACCTCAAACACATATTGGCTGTATGACCCTAAGCAAGTCATCAACTTTCTCAAAAAGTCAAAAAAAAGTAACACTGTGAGTTATAGAAAAGTTACAGAGACGACAGTAGAGAGAGTTTTCTCCTTGGGAGACTCCCTACATCAAGATATCACAAGCCTTCAAGAAATCTATGATATGGGACTAGATCTGTGATTTAATTGATATTGGAAACATTGAATGAGCAAACACTCACTGACATTGAAGATCCACTCCTGTTCCACAATTTATAGGTTTATTAGATGGTGAGCTCCTTAAGGGCAGGAACTGTTTTTGCCATTATTTGTATCCCCAGTGCTTAGTACAGTACCTAGCACAGTCAGTGCTTCATAATCTGTTGATTATCACCAATTTTCCTGTATATATCTTTTTTGTACATAGTTGTTTGCATGTTGTCTCCTTCCACTAGACTGTGAGCTCCTTGAGATCAGGGACTATAATTTTTGTTTGAGTTTTGCCTTTCTTTGTAACCTCAGCACTCAGCACAATGCCTATCCCGTTGCATGTTCTTAATAAATGCTTGCTGATTGTTGACTATATAGTTTTACACAATTGGGTCAGGCACTGAGAGATTAAGTGACATGTCCAGGGTCACACAGTCAGTATTATGCTCCCCATATACTGTATGTACCCCTATGCCTTAAACTTTCCCCCTCCTCCTCCCTATCTGGACCTTGCTTCTCACCTAAAGTCCTGCTTTCTGCAAGAGGTCTTTCTCAGCCTTCCCTCTGAGACTGTTTCCAATTTGTCTCCTATAGCGTTTGTCTGGGGGCAGGTAGGTAGTACAATGGATAGAACACTGAGCCTAAAGTGAGGAAGATCTGAGTTCAAATCTGACCTCAGACAGTTACTGACTGTGTGACCTTGGGAAAGTCACTTAATTTTATTTGCCTCAGTTCCTTATCTGTAAAATGGGGACCCACTGGAGAAGAAAATGGCAAACCACACCAGTAACTTTACCAAGAAAACTCTATGGACAAAATCTATGGAATCACTCAGTCAGACACGACTGAACAAGTATTTGTATGTGGTAGTGGTTTGCATATTGTCTCCCCTATTAGATTGTGAGCTCCTTCAGAGGGACTTTTTTCCTTTTCTTTGTGTCTCCAGAACTTCTTGGTATCTGTATTTTTTATGTTTTACATTCTTTTACTTGTTTGCAGGTTGTCTCCCTATTAAAGTGTGAGTTCTGGTTGGGAAGTGACTGTTTTTGCCTTTCTTTGTATCTCCAGGGCTTAGCATGGTGTCTGACACTTAGTAAGCACTTTTAAAAAAAATGCATGACAGAGGAGCAGCTTGAAGCCAGCTTTATAACCACTACACCGCAATGCCTGTTATATCTTTTATACATACTTTTATACAAGTATGCATATACATAAATAGATGTGTATACACGTGATATATACATTGTCGTTGTGATATATGCGTAGGTATGCATCTGCATACGTGTGTGTGGGGGTGTGTGTGTGTGCGCGTGTGTTACATACACTAGCCAAAGATATATATAGATCTATAGCTGCAGACTCTCTTCCTGGGCCCACTAAACATACCAGACGCTTGGGTCAGTTAGCACTGACTACCTAGTTGAAACCCTGCTCAGAGGTTCCTAGCCTCTCTCCAGTGGGGAGGGTCGGGCGAGAGCCAATCTCATCCATTAGCCAGCGCCCCTGCACAATGGCTGTCTCCTAGGAAGCAGCCATTGGGTGCAGCAGGCTCGCAACACCACCGGGGAGGGAGGCGGTGCTATTACCTGCTCCGCCTGAGACGGCCTGGCCAGACGCCTGCAGCGTGTTCTGTAACCCCAGAAGCAGCTTCCAGCCAGCATTGCACAACCTGGCACTGCCTCCTTACATTCCGCCCCCCCCACCATGTCCCGCTTCCCCGCTCCCCCCTTCCCCCTCCCCCCTCCACGCCCTTCACTAAAACTCAGGTTTCGCCCTAACCGGGGGTAGCTCAAGTTCAAGGTTGCTGCGCCGCTTTGCCGAGCCTGCAGATAGAATTTGCCTTATACGGTGCTCACGTTATCTTTAATTAGGCTTGTTATTAGTTCTAAAGGAGCCTGCCTACCGCACGTTTTGGAAGGAGAAGCGTTCTCCTGTACGTGACTTCAGAAGAAGGCAGTAGCCCTCCCTTTCTGTCCCCAGCCCAGGTCCATTTCTCCCGCCGAGGTCGAGCTCCCTCTTGTGGGCAGCCTGGATTTCAACGTACCGGCGCCTTCATTCACTAGGAAGATTCAATGGACGCCAGTGTTGATAAAGGCTAACCCACAATCTTAGAGGAAGGGAGAAATAATCCCACGTATAAGCTCGTAGAGGGCTCGGTTAATTTGGAACACGAATCTGTAGATACCTTTGCAGAAGACTTAAGATGGGAGAGAGGCAGAAAGGGAAAGCCTATCTGGAAGAGCTGGAAAGATAATGGACGCCACTTTTCCCCACCATCTCTTTTGAAAAAGCATGAGGAAGGGAGGGAGGGAAAGAGAGAACTGACTGAACATGGAGAAAGCAGTCTGCAAAGGAAGGCAGCGAAAAAATTAAAAGGAAATCATAGATCACGAGCTTTCATTTAAAAAAAAAGTAGCGTTAGATTAATGTGGTTCAGATTCTCTGTGTTTACAGTGATTGTGGAGTTGAACACAGGGGAATGAAATAATACACGCTTTCATAACAGTTTGGATAACCTGCTAATGTGTTACATGAGCAAAATCACAAGCTGAATACATACGAGTCTTTACTATCACAGGAGTCAATTCCATCTAAAGTGGAAACATTTTTGGCTATGGCTGTTAATGTCTGTTATCAGTATGCTTTTGGAAAGAATAGTCTTTAGAATTCCCCCCCTCCCCCCCTCCCCCGTGCTCCAGCAAATGCATACATACTCACTAAATGTGAATGGAAAGCTTGAAAAACTGCATGTACGATTTGGATGTGTTCATGTCACAGCATGGCAAATAGATTACACCTTTAAATGAACAATAGATTTTTTTTTTTTGAAATTATTTTAGGTGCCTGCGAAATGGGTAATTAAGGAATGTGCTTTTTAACAATGTTTGCAAAAAGCTCCAATCCTATGGCCAACAGAACCCTAACAAAAAAAAAATGTCAAATGTGTAGGTGACACAGCTTTGATAAAAGTTGCCCAGAATTTGGAGGAAGGGGTAAATAATCCTATGTACAGTGCTTATAAATGGCTCTGATAACTTGTCAAACACAAGTTTATCTACCTTTACAGAATGGGGGGAGGGGTTGGAGAGAGAACCTACAGTATATGAAAGAGAAGGAAAGATAATAGGTATGTTGAAGTGTTTTTTAAAAAATCACCTGCATTTCAGACGGACACTGGGTAGCCTTTTTTTTTTAAATGTAGCTATGTTTTATTGGATGCAAGATGAAAGTTTTGACTTTTAAAGTTCTCTTCCACTTTAAAGAGACCACTGAGAAACTGAGTCAACAAAAGCATTTAAACTTATCATCCTCGAAAATCTCTTCTTTCAAATTTATTTTCCCCAGTAAAAGAAGGGGGCAGGAATACGAACCCCAAAGTGCGCGGGCACACACACACATACATTGTCATGGTCTTTCACTTAACACAAATCTGAGACTGGGAAGATGGTTTGTACTGGTGCACGGTTTATAATCGGGTTAATCCAGTAGACAAAGTATAAAGCAATAACTCCCCCACCTCACTTACCGCTCCCTTCTCCTTATCTCCCCTCCCCTCAGTCGCACCCAAGCTTTCGGAAAAGGAAGGGTTTAAAACTAAGAAGAAAAAAAACCCCACAATGGGGGAAGTGGGGGGGGGGGGCTGGAGTGAAAGTAGATTTGAAATGGATTCCGGATCAAGTATCATCACCTACAACTTCTTGTTAGTTTTAGTTCTAACAATGAATACCTAAAGTTTATTTTAAATGCTAATTCCCATAGTCCGATGCCTAGGAGGTAGGTAGTACCATAGCCCCGGATTTTGGCTGGCTGGCTCAGCCTTTGGGAAAACCTTACGATCCGATTCGTGTTTCGTTGAAACTAAATAATTGACACTGCAGTGCATGGAATGGCTCTCGCTTCAAGCAAACTGTATGTGTAACTGCGGCTGCCGCCCCTGCCAGCGACTTAGTGGGGTAGATGGGCCCCGATTAGGCGGCTGCAGTTACAGTGAGTCGCCAGCCCTTCCCTCGTTCACTCGCTCGGTGCAGTTGCCCTTTTGAATGCCTCCTGCGGCTCGGAGCGCTGGCAGGGCTCTGGGAGTATGAGTGAATGTAGCCCCGCAGAGCCAATGAGCTGGGACCGGATGCGATATATCCTCTGGGACAACAACTGCTCTGTTCCTCCTCAGATCCACATGACGCCATTTACTGCTGCTGCTTTTGCAGAGATCCCTACCTCCTCCGGAAAGAAAAGAGAGCAGAAAAACGCTGAGCCCCCCCCCCCCAGCCCAGATCTCAAATCCTCCTCCTCCTTCTCTACTCCTTCTACCTCTCCTCCTCCTCCTCGCCCTCCTCCTCCTCCTCCTCCCCCTCCTAGCTCTCCTCCTCCCCCTCCACCTCCTCCTCATCATCCTCTTCCTCCTCCTCCCCCTCCCCCTCCTCCTCCTCCTCCTCCTCCAAACACACAACAACAACCACCGCCACAAACTAGCTGCTGCTCCTCCGAAACGCCCAGATTGCAAACCACAGAGCTGCCTGCAACAGAGAGAGGGAGAGAAAGAGAGAGGGAAAAGGAGGAGGAAGCAAAAGAGAGGAGAGCAGCTGCAGCCAGCTTTCACGGGCAGGAACGACTGCACATTGCACAGGCTGCGTCTGCCAGGAGGAGGTCGATACGAAACTTGGGGATTTTGCTTAACTTCATTTTCAGGTCATTTTCTTGTACCGTTTTATCGACTCGCCAGAACAACAAAGTGACTTGGTGTTGGCGATTCGGCCTTCTGTTCATTGAGGAAAAGGAAAAAAAAGGGGGGGGGGAATACTCCTTGTGTTTTTCTTCTTTTAGGAAGAGAAGGGGAAAAGAAAAAGAAGGGGGAAAAAGAAACACCTTTCGCCCTTAGCCCGGAGTTTTTACTTAATTGAATCTATCGGCGGGTTTCTTCGCTTTGGATTTTCTTTTCATTTCTATTTTTCCCCTTCTGATGGCTTGCAAGTTGGACTGAAGCAAAGTTTGGAAAGCAAAAGTTTGTTTTAGGGCTGGATTTATTTGCAAACCACAGGAAGAAGAAAATACAAGGGAGAGAGGGGTTGGTGCAGAGCCGCGATCACGGTGAGATACTTTATGCCGCTTCCCCCCATCCCCCTACCCCTTCTCCGCCCTGGCTAACTTTAGCCATTTATTCCAGGAAACATGAAGTAGGTGTAGGTAAACCTGAAGCTTTAAATCCATCCCCCATATCCATTCCTTTTCTTTCCATCTAGCAGGTTCCCCTAGGGAAGTAATAGAAAATTGACTCCACTTGAGGGTTTTTTTGGGGGGGGTTGGAGGGGGAGCTTTTTGCACGTACTTCCTAGATGCTTGCTTTTCGCCGTTGTAGAACCCGGTGTTCTACAGAGGCCCCCCCTTTCTGCCAAACCGACTTTTGGAGTCTGGGATCCCCCAACTTCAACGACTCCGTGCCGGGGGGGAGATGGTGCGGGGATGGGGGAGAGACAAGGCACAGTTTAGGCGGCGGAAATCTTTCACTCACGTTTAGACTTTTGCTGGGAGAAATGTCTGCTCACTTGCTCCGAGTTTAATGAACTCGTGTCACACACACACTCGTGTCACAAACACAGGCAAATAAAAAGAAAACCACACAAACAAAAAAAAAAAACTAGAAAATACTTCATTGTGTTTCACAGGTCACGGAGCTAAACGGCCAGATTTATATAACCTGTTCCTCATCTTTGAGGGAAGGAAATTCCTGCTAGATCCTGTTGAAGGCATTGACTAGCTTCCAGGTTGATTTATTTTCTGCAGTTTACATTCTTCGCGTGGGTAATCATACAACCTACATTAAAATGCTAACGTGGGTAACGGGGGAAGGAGCCCACTTATCTCTAGCTCGAATGTAACTAGATAGCAGTACTTGATAGGCAATCCCGGTTTCTGTGTTGAAGGATTACTGTGTTGGGTCTATGCAATTCGGAAGTGTGCTCCTTTCTCCCACCACCAACACCGCCACCACCACCATCCCCCCCATATGGTCGAATATAGGTCATTTTTTTTTAACTTCGACCCTCCTTCTAGCACCGGAAGAAAGTAATCAAGGGCTCACGATCATTTTCCATTTCCATTCTCTGGTCAGCTGTTGATAAAAGAGACCCGTTTGGGGTTTGGGTGTATTTTTAGCCTTTTAAGTCTGCTTTTGGTTTAAAAAAAAAAAGAATACATATCGGAAACTTTTGGGGTATTTTCTCCCTGAAGGCTGTTTGTGTGTCAGTTTTGCCCCACCCCAGTAGTGAAGTCCTGTCCCTCTAATCCACAGTCTGATCACACACACTCAGCTCTTAATGGGGGTTTCAAAGCACTTTCAAAGAAGGGCTGGGGGGGAGGAGGTTCTGGGTTGTGGGGTGGGGAGAGGGGTGCTGTAAAGGGGGATTGAGATATCCAGGCAGCCCGGGTACAGCCGACCAGAAATTCACTGGCAAGAATGATTTCTCTAAGTAAGGGCTTTGCCTTTACAACCTGCCTGATATTCGCTAGATGCAATTTTTCCATTGCAGGCAGAAAGAGCTTTGCGCCTGTAAAGCCACCAGATTACCAGAGTCTGTGTTCTCTACTCAACTACCCCCACCTTCACCACTGACTCTCCCCCACCCCCTTCCCACATCGCGCCCCAGCAGCATTTCTGCTAGTCCTCCAGTGTATGGATTGGGGCTTTGCATTTGAAATGGACCCTCCTAAAAAGACTTTCTGTTTATTAATTTGTAAAGTGTTTCCGCCCCTAAAGTGGCTCTTAGTCAACTATAATGCACTAAACGCCTACTATGTACCAAGTACTGTGCTAAGCGCTGGGGATACAAAGAAAGGATATATAGACGTATCTATATCTATCTATAAATATGTGTGTATACACACCTATATACATATATACACGCATGTACATATACACAAGAAGACCCCAATCTTAGATAATACAATAGATGGAAGGGGGTAAAATGAGTCAAATTTATTACGGAATTAATGTTGATGCAAGTTTTCAGGAGGATGACATGTCAAGCCAAATGAGTTTTGAAGGGAGAGATTTTTTTTCCTTAATGTATTAAAATTCAGGGGTGGTTTGCTTAAATTCTGTGTCATTTTTAATCTCTACGCAAAGTAAAGGAATCTGGGGGGGGGGGGGGGGGTGTCCAGAGGCTGTGTAGTCAGGCATGCTGTTCCGGTTGCCTAGAAGGGCAAAGGACCTGAAATGCATTCAAGGGAAGTTCTCTGAATGAGAAAAGTATTGCAAGACGTTTTACTTAAGCCAAAGACTGTAGGGAAAACTCCTGGCATCTGTGGGGGTGAGGGGAGGGGGGCGGGGGCTGAGCCGAGGTAAAAGGAAATGTGGTCTTGCGTTTCGTGACAAATCGACTTTAGAAGTACCCCCGCCCTCCTCTCCCCCTCCCCCTGCACCCCGGGATGTTGCCTGTCTATCTAGAAGTTGTCTGCATTTGTGAGCCAGCTTGTCGCATTTGCAGCGTCAGTCAGCCCTGAGAAAAGTCCCAGGGGTTGCCGCTGGGTCCCACCTGCTGGTACGTTGTTTTGGGCAGAAATGAAGCTGATAAAAGGAATGGAAGAAAAGAGCAATGAGCACTCTCTCTCTCTCTCTCTCTCTCTCTCTCTCTCTCTCTCTCTCTCTCCCTCTCTCTGTCTCTCTGTCTCTCTCTCTCTCTACTGCTTTTCTGTTGTTTAAGGTGAGGAGATCCAGTTTCCAGATCAGCCTTAAGGATTTAGAGGTGCATGTCACCTGCGCGGTTCAAACAGATTTTTTTTTCTTTTCTGGAGGGTAAAGGCCAATTTTTTTTGGCTTTAAAAAAATTGCCTTTTCACCCAAATTTGGAAAAAGGTGGAGGTATGGTAACTGAATATTATGCCAGGGTCTTACAGTTTTAAGAAATTGGAATGCTAAGTTCACACTCTTTTTCCTTTAAGAGTAGAGTAAGTTTGAGTCACATTAACAATAACTTTAATATGTGTGACTATTTATATTTTTATATAAATGAACAAATTTAAGAAGATTCCAAAGTAAGCAAGTGTGAGACTTTACTTTTATCTGAAAAAGATCATAGGTTTGAAAATCAGCCCTTTACTTGAAATACAGAATAGCAGTTCTTCCCCTATATGTATTTCTGTCATTCTGCAAAATATATGACTTTTGGTGCATTTTCTCTCTAAAATGTAAGATTTTGACTTGTGTGGTACTGCCAGCTAATAGGATTTGTAATGATATGCCCTTTGATAATTGACTTTGGGATAGGTGGTTAACAGTTGTATATGTAATTTTCTCATTTTGTAACTATAGAAAACTAATGATAAAGAATATATTTTCTGAAATAAAAAGCTGCTTAATACTAAATTAGAATATTACAAAACTAGAGTTTAAGATATTTGAAATGTAAAAGAAGATATTTGGAGGTAAAAGTTTAAGATTTCCTAGATTTATTTACTGAATGATGTTTAAAAGCAGAATTGCAACGAGGCAGCCAAGTGTGACACTTCTTTTAGTTTTAAAAAGCTTTAGACTTATTTTGAAATTTGGGGTTGTAATGTTGGCTTAAAACATTTGAAACCTCATTTTCCTGCAATTCAGTGTTTTCCTGGGAACATTAGTTGGAGTAAAAATTTTACCATGTTTCATATTATCTGTTGTACGAAGAAATTTACTCAATTATATTATTTTTTCTTTTAAAATCAAGAATTTAAGAAAACAAAGGTTTAAAATTTCCTTTCATACTTGTATTGAACACATTGTATTTGTATTGAATACAATGACCAGTTTTCCTATTCCAAATATCATTTTTTTTTAATAAGGGCCTGTGAATTAAAGACTCATTCAGGTAGTTGAAGAGTTAATCATGTGTCATAGTGAACCATTTTCTCTTTGTTCCTGCAGGAATTCAGATGTGTTCTAAGCCTGCTGGAGTGATCACCCTTCAGAATCCTGATGGAGACAAGAGCTCAGAATGGCAGTGGGTCCCAGCCCTTGTTACAGGCTCCCCGTGACAGTGGCAGGCAGCATGGGGAGCCTGACCTGAGAGATGCTCTCACACAGCAGGTTCACGTGTTGTCACTGGACCAGATCAGGGCCATCCGAAACACAAATGAATATACCGAGGGACCTACAGTAGCTCCACGACCTGGGGTCAAACCTGCCCCTCGACCTTCCACTCAACATAAAAATGAAAGACTCCATGGATTAACTGAGCACCGTCAACTTAGCAGGGTCCAACATTCACAGACACATTCTTTTGTTCGGGCACCTCTGTCTCGATCCATCAGCACTGTGAGTACAGGGTCGAGAAGCAGTACAAGGACAAGTACCAGTAGCAGTTCCTCCGAACAAAGACTTTTAGGATCATCCTTTTCTTCTTCAGGGCTAGTTGCTGATGGAATAATCCGGGTGCAGCCCAAATCTGAGCTCAAACCAGGTGAACTGAAGCCCTTGAGCAAGGAAGACTTGGGTATGCATGCCTACAGGTGTGAGGATTGTGGGAAGTGTAAGTGTAAGGAATGCACCTATCCAAGGCCTCTGCCATCAGACTGGATCTGTGACAAACAATGTCTTTGCTCAGCTCAGAACGTGATTGATTATGGGACTTGTGTATGCTGTGTGAAAGGCCTCTTTTATCACTGCTCCAATGATGATGAGGATAACTGTGCTGACAACCCCTGCTCTTGCAGTCAGTCTCATTGCTGTACTCGGTGGTCTGCCATGGGGGTCATGTCTCTCTTTCTGCCTTGTTTGTGGTGTTATCTTCCAGCCAAGGGTTGCCTTAAGTTGTGCCAGGGGTGTTATGACCGAGTTAACAGGCCTGGGTGCCGCTGTAAAAACTCAAACACAGTTTGCTGTAGAGTTCCCAGCGTCCCACCTAGGAACCTTGAAAAACCAACATAGCATCATTAATCAGGAATACTGCAGTGATAATAAGAACTATTACTCTCACTCTCACTCTCTCTCTCTCTCTCTCTCTCTCTCTCTCTCTCTCTCTCTCTCTCTCTTTCTGTCTCTCTTCCTCCCTCTCCTGCCCCCTCTCTTTCTTAACACATATGCAACCAACTAAACAGTTATAATCTTGGCACTGTTAGTAAGGGTTGGGATATACTTTGCTGTTTGCAGTGAAATGCTTTTTTTGTGCGTGTGCCATCTTAACTGATAGGCTTGTTAGAACACAGCTAATGGAGCTCAAAATATGGGATACAGAACTTGGTGACCCACATATTGCATAAGCTAAAGCAACACAGACACTCCTAGGCAACTTTATCATTTGTGAATAGTACTTGCAAAGTTTGTAAATTAGCAAATGACTCCTTTTTCCATTGTTTTCTGCCAGAGATAATGTGCTATATTTTTGTATATACAATAATATTTGCAACTGTGAAAAAACAAGTTGTGCCATAATGCATGGCACAGTCACAAAATATTATACTAATATGTTGTACATTCGGAAGAATGTGAATCAATCAGTATGTTTTTAGATTGTATTTTGCCTTACAGAAAGCCTTTATTGCAAGACTCTGATTTCCCTTTGGACTTCATGTATATTGTACAGTTACAGTAAAATTCAGCCTTTATTTTCTAATTTTTTTCAACATATTGTTTAGTGTAAAGAATATTTATTTGAAGTTTTATTATTTTATAAAGAAGAAGAATATTTATTTTAAGAGGCATCTTACAAATTTCACCCCTTTTATGAGGACGTGATAGTTGCTGCAAGTAAGGGGTTACAGATGCATATGTTCAATATAAAATAGAAAATATATTAACGTTTGAAATTAAACTGGGCTGTTTGTCTTCTTTTCCCTCTGTTTCTGTGAGATTAAAATTCTGGCTATGAGATTTCTAACAAGTTTAAAAGGATGAAAATTTTTTCACAACTTATGTTTAACATATGACCAGGCCATCACTGTCAAAGTGAAAGAGATAATGAGCCAGTTTACTTTGGTGACTCAAGCAAAGCATATCTTTGTGGTGGGCGTCAGTGTTGTGTATCATTATTGATGTTCTAGTCACTTCACTGGGTTTAAAGTAGACTTTCAAATACTTGAGTAGGTCATAAGTCCACCAAAAATGATAATAATAATTGGACTTACTTTGTGCATAAATTGGTAAATTGAGGTCATTCTTGATTAATCAGCTCTGCAAAAACAAAAACAAAAACACACTTATGAAGTATCAGTTGAATTGTGACCCCCCCCCATTTCTCTACTATATTTGGCTCTGTGAATTAAACTACATACCAAATATCCAATATTTGAAAACATCTGGATGATTAATTGAATTCTTTAGTTTTGATTCAGATGTTTGGCATTATGTAGACACAGACTATGTGTCAACTTAAAAATTCAAGCCAAGAAGTTCACTTGAAGAACGGAGATTGGCTGTCTTAACTGATTAGATTAGCCAGACATCTGCCAAAACTTCATTTGCACTTTGTAGACAATGGCACATAGCTAGTTAGTTTGAAATTACTTCTTGTAAGCATAGAGCTGGTAGCTCAATGAAAGAGATGAATACTCTAACCTGTATGTCATACTATGTGCTATGCACATAGTAGGCACTGAATAAAATGTTTATGGATTCTTATTTTGAATAAGGTTTTGGATTTGTAACTTTGTGACTTGCCATTTGCTGAGGTTAGAAACTGTTTACTTCAAAGACTTGCCAAAAGTCTAGGAAATGATTTACCTCTCTTTTAAATCTATCATTTCCTAATATGAGTATTTATCTCTTAAGTTTAAAGGTCTTAGTGCAGGCTTTTTTTTTTTATAAATAGAGGTGAGGGAAGAGCTGTTTTGTTTTTAAAATTGACTTTCGAGGAATTATATCCTCCTAAACCCAAACATAGTGTGAAAGACCTTCAGTTTATTATGAAACCTCTCCAAGAAAAAGATTAAATTATTTGAGAATTTGTTTAGTGAAAAAATTTGATGTTGGGTTACTGGATATCATAATTCTTAAAGCCAAATTCAACTGGTGGTCCAAGTTTGGGATCTAGTTGTGAGAACAGCCCAAAGTTGTTTGACACTACATAGTTTTCAAGATTTACAAATAAAAACACAATAGCAAGCCTTGATCTGGTTCTTTAGAAACATTGCCCTTTATGCATATTGTTCTTTCTGATATAAAGATGGCCAGGAAGAATTCTCTGTTTCTCAGCATCCAGGGACTACTTCCCAATTATTGGAACACCCATGCTGTTATAAAGCAGCTTGGTGACACAATGGGTAGAGCACTGGGCATTGAATCAGGAAGACTCATCTTCCTGAATTCAAATCTCTCCTCAGAAAATTAGCTGTGTGACCCGTGGGCAAATCACTTAACCCTGTTTGTCTCAGTTCCTTGTCTGTAAAATGAGAAGGAAATAGCAAAGAACTCCAGTATCTTTACTGAGAAAACTCCAAATGGAGTCACAAAGTCAGACATGACTGAAACAACTGAACAGCAACAACACTGTTATGAACCATAAGCCTCTAGCATTAATGACGCTGGTGATCAAATCAAAGTGGGTAAGAATTTAGCATTTATATTCTATCACAGTAAAGAAAATTTGTTTAGGGATCTGTGGGAAATAAAATTACCAACTAACCTTTTAAACATTGTAGTTTATTCTTGCACTGAATGAGAATGCCTAGTGAGCATGTGGAAAATTGGGTATAGGTTGAAAGCAGTCAGTGCTATGGTCTCTGCTCCTTACTTGAGAGGGAGTTTTTAAAGGATTGTTGTTTTCAAGATATGAACATCTCACTATGGAACTGAGGTTTGCTGCAATGACACTTTAAATTCTTAAACTTTCTATTAAAAAAGAAAACCCTAAAAAAGTTTGCTTTACAAATGAAATGAATACATAAGCTGATGGCTAAAGTCTTCCCAGTGATGTGACAAGCTAACAATGTAATAGTTAACCAATAGCATAATTGAAATGACTAAACATTTAAGAAAAATATTCTTTTGTGTTGATTAAAATGTTGTTTTAAATTGATATTTTTGCAGAAACATTCTGTAGAAAGGGTCTTCTGTGTTTTGGCCTTCATCTTAGAATGGCTGTCAACTTAGTTCTTCCTTAAAAACATTCATTTATATCTTTTGAGGAGGAGATTTAAGGCCCTGCCAAATTTCTGCTATGTTGGAGCATGCTCTGGGGATTGTTGAATATCTGTCTATGAAAGCAGGAGAGGTCCAAAGCAGGGGAAAAAAGCATCTTTCCTTACTCAACCAACTTGTTATTTTGTTTTCTTTTTCTTTTTCTGCTGGATCAAGAACTACTAGACACTAGAATGAAATCTTAAATATGAATGTTATCAAGTAAGTGAATTTGTACTTTGCAGGGTTTTACATGTGGCATTTGATAGCAGTGAAAAATTTCATGGGGTTAACTGCCAGTTGATTGGCCTCTAAACCTGTAGGACCAAATGTTGAAAGGTTTAATAGAGAGAGGGTTTCATTTGTAGTTGTTTCCACTACAGACCACTTACCCTCTTATCTGAAGGGTTCCAAAAGAGCAGATGGCATCAGTGTCCTCAGCAGAACTTTTGAGAGGAAGGGGCCACACATCTTTATAACACCTATTATGTGCCAGACACTGTGCTAAGCACTTTACAAATATTTCATTTGATCCTTACAAAAATCCTGGGAGATAGGTATTATTATTATGCCCATTTTACAGTTGAGGAAACCAAGACAAACAAGTTAAGTGGCTTGCCCAGGGTCAAAGAGCTCCAAAATATCTGAGGCCAAATTTGAACTCAAGACTTTTTGACTCTAGGTCTAGTGTTCGAGACCGCTTAGCTGCCTTTTGGAAGAAATTGGCCTGCAGAGAAAAAGTACTAAACCTTATTATCATCATGTAGTCAAGTATATAGCCTATGTTGGGGTATGAACCGCTTGGGGATCTGACATGCAAGCAAAGATAACTAGTCAATTTCTCTAAAAAGAGTTAAAAATCTCTAGATGCTTAAAATCCACTTAGATTTTCTACTTCTTTTGCAAGTTGGACACAAGTTATGTCTATAGACACAAAATGAAGTGAAAAATTGAAGCAATTCCCAGGATAGCTAAAACAAACTCATTTTTGCCCCAGTATCCAATCATTTTCTGGCTTTTTCCATAGAACTGGTGGTGGCATTTCTGAAGCATTCAAATGATTGCCTCATTCCTCTTTCCCATGTACTGGCTCATTCTAAGCTTGAGTCTTTGTGATAACTGCAGCCTACACCAGGACTTTAAAATGTGACCTGTCTGGTTTGGCCTGAGTGATCTTCACAGTAAAGATATGCAGCTGCTATCCATAAGCACTGGTTTGGCCACTCTCATAACAGGATAATAAACCAGACAGACCATATTCACTTTCACTTTTACAGTTCACTGTAATCATATAGACTTGCCCTCAGTCAAATTTTCTTTGCTGAACTGAAGACTTCTATATACTTTTGAATAGTAGCATGAAAGACAAACATTAAATAAATAATAGACTCAGAGTGATATCACTAGAAAATTCACGAAAATAAAACTAAAATTATCTGACAGCAAATTCAAAGGATGATTCTCACTTGCTTTAAAAAAAGTGACAGACAGTAATATAAAATATAAATATATGTATTAGCCCCTATCAGTGGCTAGCAAGAATTTCACACTTATTTAATGCTACAGATTGAGTGACCTGAAAAATTCTTAAATCCCAGCCTAATTTGGCAAATGTCCTTTGCTGTATTTTTTTATGAAGCATTAGAGGAGATTATAATGAAGTATGTTGACTTGGCCCCTGGCTTGGCTAGATGGGACATGTAAAACTTGAATATACCTTGCAGGAGTTTATTTCTCAAAACAGTTGCTAATATACAGAGAACAAGAGTTATTTGGCTGAACACAAGGGTCCACTTGGAAAAGAAGCTGGGTAGCATTTCTTAACCAATTTGTTGATATTTCTTTAATGATACACTGAGATGAGAATCAGTGCAAAACTTAAATTTTTTGCTCTTAATCTAAAATAAAAGTCACCAGAGAATATTTAATTAAGTAGATATTGTAACAAAAGGGCATTGTAAACAATAAAATCCTAAAGAAATGAAATTAATTGATAAATAGACATAGTAACACTAAAACGTGATTTCTTGATTGCTGATTCCTCCCTTTGTATTTAATGTTAAAAATTAGAGAGGAACCTCACAGTGGGTTAACTGGATCCTCTGGAAATATATAGGACAAGGACAATTATACAGGATGAGAAGGCTTATTGTGATGAGCATCACTGAAGGTTGTAGCCATATTAATGGCATCCCAGAAACATAGAATTAATCACTTAATCAACAGATATTTATTAAATACCTACTATATAACTGGCACTGTGTTATACTGGGGATACAAACACAAGGAATGAAACAATCCCTATCCACAAGGAACTTTAATTTTAAAGGGCAAGATAATAAAGACATGTATAAGAAAAATAAACATAAAGTTAAATATGGAAGTAGGTATTGCTACCTATAGGAAAAATAAGGAAAGAAAGATCACAAAATATACCTTTCATGGGTGTATGTGACCTAGCTATTAGAGAGACATAAGATCAAGAGGTGAAAAATAGTTATGCTTGATCCTCAACGAGGCACCTCCACTACCTGTGCTGTAGCATCTTCATTTGTAAAATGAGACGATCAGATTAATTGATGTCTTAAATACCTTCCCATTCTAAATCTTATGATATTATGATCTATAGAGCTTAAATTGTTATAGTTCGATAATTTAGCACATGTTTTTTTAAACACAACTATTTAATAGAATTTC